GGATTCATGTTTTGGAATATCTTTATTCTGTACAGGCTTCCTTTTTTCACTCTGTAAATTAGGTTAGTATTGTGGAGTAACTACAATGTTGATCCATCCTCAGTTTTCTCCTATCACGGCCGTTAAACTCTGTAACTGTTTTAAAGTCACCATTGGCCTCATGGTGAAATCCCTGAGCAATTTCCTTCCTCTCCGGCAACTGAGTTAGGAAGGATGCCTGTATCTTTGTAGTGACTGGGTGTATTGATACACCATCCAAAGTGTAATTAATAACTTCACCATGCTCAAAGGGATATTCAATGTCTGCTTTTATTTATTTGTACTCATCTACCAATAGGTGCCCTTCTTTGCGAGGCATTGGAAAACCTCCCTGATCTTTGTGGTTGAATCTGGGTTTGAAATTCACTGCTCGACTGAGGGACCTTTACAGATAATTGTGTGTTTGGGGTACAGAGATGATGTAAAAAAAATAAAAGAATCATGCTAAACACTATTATTGGACAGAAAGTGACTCCACGCAACTTATAATGTGACTTGTTAAGCACATTTTTACTCCTGAACTTATTTAGGCTTGCCATAACAACAGGGTTGAATACTTATTGATTCAAGACATTTCAGCTTTTCATTTTTAATTAATTTGTAAAAATGTCAAAACCCATATTTCCACCGTGACATTATGGGGTATTGTGTGTAGGCCAGTGACCAAAAATCTCAATGTAATCCATTTTAAATTCAGGCTGTAACACAACAAAATGTGGAAGAATTCAAGGGGTGTGAATACTTTCTGAAGGCACTGTATTTCCAGCCTCCAAACAGTGGTGAATGGCGAGAGACATCTGTTACACAAAACACCAAAAAGTGTAATGACATTTGCCGATTATCATTAGTCCACTGCTGCCCGCTCGCGTCTCGGTGTCGGCCACTCATCTCTGCCTTGGCAAAATGTCAGTGTTTTCGTCTAACCACATCGCATTTTGGGGCGTAGGCTATACCACCAGTTTTCAAGTCCATTCGCTCAAGTTTTATGCCTCTGACATGCGTTAATGACTCTGACGGTAATGATAAAAAGTGGTGTAATAGCCTATAGTTTTCTTGACATTTAGTTGTAATTATTGTGATAGGCTTATGTTTTACTGGTACGGAATACCCCCACTATTTATTTTGCCAGGACGCTGTACTGGACCGTACCGCCTTACTTTCACCCCTGGTTTTTGATCTCTCACATACAGAGGTGTTGATTTGTCACATAGAGAGATGTTGATTTGTCACATAGAGATGTTGAGCTATCAGGGAATGTTCAGGAGTTGCCTGAGGCCCAAGTCTTTGTTGCTGTGACTCTAAACGAGCAGATGAGGTAAATGGTCTCTCCTCCAGCAGAACAGTGATGTCCTCTCACTGACTAGACTGGACTGGACAGACCTGGCAAGATGCTGCCCTCCCTGATCCCTAACATGACTTTTAAGTACAGTGTCTGATCCCCAGCAAGGTTGGAATCAATTACATTTCAATTCCAGACAATTCAGGAAGTACACTGAAATTCCAATTTTCTTAAGAAAATGTGGAATTGGAATCGGAATTTGGTAAACTTTCTGAATTGACTGGAATTCAAATGGAATTGACCGCAAACCTGATCTCCAGTGAGCAGCTCATTTAGACACCTGTTCATTTTGAGATGATTTCTGATCTTTTGAGTGAACAGAGGATCCGTATAGAGTGAGAGCTTAACAGAGGACAGGCACAAGGCCAGAGGGTTGTAGTGCGTAATGAGGAGTGAAGGGGGTGAGAAAGGTAGGCCCTCATCTTATTTATTAGGAAGGCTTCAGCCAAGTCGTTCTTTTTCTGTCCCCGTTTCCATGGAGAGGAGAAGAGGCACTTGAAGTCAGGCTTTTAGTAGACACACTCACTTTGCAGTGCAGGAGGAGAGAAAGGGAGTTATGAGAGGATGAGGGCACGCTGTCCCAAATTTAGAAAATGTAATGTGCCGTGGGGCAGACATCTTGCTGTACAGACACAGACAAAGCAGCCAGAGAAGAGTGCACCTGGGACGACCTCATTGTGCTATGTGATTCATAGAGCTCTCTGAAGCTGAGCACAGGCAGGATCCCTATCTACTCTACGGTCAGTCTACCTGAGGGAGAGAGAGAGAGAGAGAGAGAGGAGGGAGGGAGAGGGAGAGCGAGATAGAAAGAAGAGGGTGAAATTAAATGGGGCAGTGTTAGAAATGGAGGGATTGAGGGTGCCCATAGTGCCCTAAAAGCTCATCACTAGGTTAAGGACCCTGGGACTAAACACCTCCCTCTGCAACTGGATCCTGGACTTCTTGACGGGCCGCCCCCAAGTGGTAAGGGTAGGCAACAACACATCTGCCATGCTGATCCTCAACACTGGGGCCCCTCAGGGGTGCGTGCTTAGTCCCCTCCTGTACTCCCTGTTCACCCACGACTGCGTGGCCAAACACGACTCCAACACCATCATTAAGTTTGCTGACGACACAATAGTGTCACCGACAACGATGAGACAGCCTATAGGGAGGAGGTCAGAGACCTGGCAGTGTGGTACCAGGACAACAACCTCTCTCTCAACGTGTTCAAGACAAAGGAGCTGATCGTGGACTACAGGAAAAGAAGGGCCAAACAGGCCCCCATTCACATCGACAGGGCTGTAGTGGAGCAGATTGAGAGCTTCAAGTTCCTTGGTGTCCATATCACCAACAAACTATCATGGTCCAAACACACCAAGACAGTCATGAAGAGGGCACGACAACACTTTTCCCCCTCAGGAGACTGAAAAGATTTAGCATGGGTCCCCAGATCCTCAAAGTTCTACAGCTGCACCATCGAGAGCATCCTGACCGGTTGCATCTCCACCTGGTATGGCAACTGCTCTGCATCTGACCGCAAGGCGCTACAGAGGGTAGTGCGTATGGCCCAGTACGTCACTGGGGCCAAGCTTCCTGCCATCCAGGACCTATATACTAGGCGGTGTCAGAGGAATGCCCAGAAAATTGTCAAAGACTCCAGTCACCCAAGTCATAGACTGTTCTCTCTGTTACCGCACGGCAAGCGGTACCGGAGTGCCAAGTCTAGGACCAAAAGGCTCCATAACAGCTTCTACCTCCAAGCCATAAGACTGCTGAACGATTACTCAAATGGCCACCTGGACTATTTACATCTTTGTTTTTTCACTGCTGCTACTCGCTGTTTATCATCTATACATAGTCACTTTACCTCGACTAACCTGTACCCCCACACATAGACTCGGTACCGGTATCCCCTGTATATATACTTTAGTTTATTTAGTAAATATTTTTGAGCTGCATTGTTGGTTAAGGGTTTGTAACTAAGAATTTCACAGTAAGGTCTACACCTGTTGTATTCAGCGCATGTGACAAATACAATTTGATTTGATTTGAGAGGGATGGAGGAGGGAGAGATGGAAAGCGGGTAAAGCATGAGACATGGAAAGTGAGGAAAGACTAAGGAAAGTGAGACAGGCTTGGAGGACAGTAGATTGGAGGACATTAGAGACAGACTTGGAGGACAGTAGAGACAGGTTTGGAGGACAGTAGAGACAGGCTTGGAGGACAGTAGCGACAGGCTTGGAGGACAGTAGAGACAGGCTTGGAGGACAGTAGAGACAGACTTGGAGGACAGTAGAGACATGCTTGGAGGACAGTAGATACAGGCTTGGAGGACAGTAGATAGAGGCTTGGAGGTCAGTAGAGACAGGCTTGGAGGACAGTAGAGACAGGCTTGGAGGACAGTAGAGACAGGCTTGGAGTACAGTAGAGACAGGCTTGAGGACAGTAGAGACAGGCTTGAGGACAGTAGAGACAGGCTTGAGGACAGTAGAGACATGCTTGGAGGACAGTAGAGACATGCTAGGAGGACAGTAGAGACAGGCTTGGAGGACAGTAGAGACAGGCTTGAGGACAGTAGAGACAGGCTTGAGGACAGTAGAGACAGGTTTGGAGGACAGTAGAGACATGCTTGGAGGACAGTAGAGACATGCTTGGAGGACAGTAGAGACAGGCTTGGAGGACAGTAGAGACAGGCTTGGAGGACAGTAGAGACAGGCTTGAGGACAGTAGAGACAGGCTTGGAGGACAGTCGACACAGGCTTGGAGGACAGTAGAGACATGCTTGGAGGACAGTAGAGACAGGCTTGAGGACAGTAGAGACAGGTTTGGAGGACAGTAGAGACATGCTTGGAGGACAGTAGAGACATGCTTGGAGGACAGTAGAGACAGGCTTGGAGGACAGTAGAGACAGGCTTGGAGGACAGTAGAGACAGGCTTGAGGACAGTAGAGACAGGCTTGGAGGACAGTCGACACAGGCTTGGAGGACAGTAGAGACAGGCTTGAGGACAGTAGAGAGAGGTTTGGAGGACAGTAGAGACAGACTTGGAGGACAGTAGCAACATGCTTGGAGGACAGTAGAGACAGGCTTGGAGGACAGTAGAGAGAGGGAATGACATATTGACCAACACTGTCATCGAGTAATAGAAAGACTTAGAAGGAGAGAGAGAGACCGAGGGAAAGAGAGAGACAGAGAGAGAGCGAGAGAGAGAGAGCGAGAGAGAGAGAGCGAGAGAGAGAGAGAGAGAAAGAGAGAGAGAGAGAGGGAAAGAGAGAGACAGAGGGAAAGAGAGAGACAGAGGAAAGAGAGAGACAGAGGGAAAGAGAGAGACAGAGAGAGAGAGAGACAGAGAGAGAGAGAGAGAGAGAGAGACAGAGAGAGAGAGAGAGAGGTAGGAGAGGAGAGACAGACATAAAGAATTAGAGAAACAGAAATAGATTGAGAGTATCTGTAGACAGTGTCAGACCTACAACTCTAAGCTGCTGTTTTCTCCATACAGTAAATAGGCCTACAGTTTGTATTATATAGTCTTATATTTGATGCAGTTAATAATGCTGGAAGAGAGATTGTAATGTTTGTCTTACTGTATGTGAAGTTTCAGTATGCTCTCTGACCTTTACCCCCTGACCCCTGTGATGCAGGTATCTGGATCAAACCAACCCGAGCCTCCAGGATGAGGGATAAGAGAGCAGACTTCACGGCCGGTTGTCTGGGAGGAAGGGTCATCGTTGCAGGGGGACTAGGTGAGCAAACTAACACCATTCAACTTAACATTTTCTACTTAGAAATGTCAGCAGTCTTAACATGAGCCTTTTAATCCTAGAGGGATATTTTAGGATTCTGATTCACAGATGTTATATTTCCCTTCCTCTTAATTTTGTCTAAAGGCTGGTAAACGAGGGATCTGCCCTCCATTTAACAGCCATCTGGGAGGATTGTCTCTGTCTTTTGAGGCTGAATAAGGCACCTATTTATTATTCATAGTGTCGGGTGGTTGAAAGCCAAAGGGATGTTTTTCAGGGTGACATTAGATTGTCATGCCGTTCAGAAGTTAGCCTCCTCCTCCTCCCACACTCTATCACTGTAGTCTCTCTTGCTGTGTCTCCCAAACATTCCTCACTATTTTTGCCCTTTCCCTCTCACTGTCTCTTCGCTCACATTTTTTCTTTCTGTTCCCTCTCAACTTCCGTCGGTCACTGTCACCCTCTCCCCTTATCACTGATACAAGATACATTGAAATCTGTATGGATAATATGATTAAAGCTGATTTCAATGAACTCGGGAGAGATGGCAGTGTGTAGAGTGGCAGTGTCAGGGTGGATGCTATGCAATTATGTGACTCATGCACACACACACACACACACACAAAGTCTCCCAAGCCTCCCCCAAGTCTCCTCACAAATCCTAAAAAGTATTAAGTATTTAAATATCTCTTGCTCATTTAAGGGATCAGTTGAGATATTTATGCACCCATGACTTTAATCATTATCCTCTTCAGCTGCTGTAAGGTTAATGAATCTAAATGGAGGTAAACGTGTGGAGTGCCTAAGGAACTAGGTTCCTGAGGCAAATAAAATGCTCTTGGTCCATTTGACACTGAACAGAACATGTGGTCAAATCCAATTTAGTAAAAGGGAGACATACAAGTAGGATAGTTGTAGGAGAGGGTTGCTGGATTGTGGGTAGGGTAGATGTTGGGGAGGGAGCTGGGTTGTGGGTAGGATAGGTGTTGTAGAGGGAGCTGGGTTGTGGGTTGGATAGGGTAGATGTTGGGGAGGGAGCTGGGTTGTGGGTAGAGTAGGGTAGGTGTTGGAGAGGGAGCTGGGTTGTGGGTAGGATAGGGTAGGTGTTGGAGAGGGAGCTGGGTTGTGGGTAGGATAGGGTAGGTGTTGGAGAGGGAGCTGGGTTGTGGGTAGGATAGGGTAGGTGTTGGAGAGGGAGCTGGGTTGTGGGTAGGATAGGGTAGGTGTTGGAGAGGGAGCTGGGTTGTGGGTAGGATAGGGTAGGTGTTGGAGAGGGAGCTGGGTTGTGGGTAGGATAGGGTAGGTGTTGTAGAGGGAGCTGGGTTGTGGGTAGGATAGGGTAGGTGTTGGAGAGGGAGCTGGGTTGTGGGTAGGATAGGGTAGGTGTTGGAGAGGGAGCTGGGTTATGGGTAGATAGGTGTTGGAGAGGGAGCTGGGTTGTGGTAGGATCGGGTAGGTGTTTTGGAGAGGGAGCTGGGTTGTGGGTAGGATAGGGTAGGTGTTGGAGAGGGAGCTGGGTTGTGGGTAGGATAGGGTAGGTGTTGGAGAGGGAGCTGGGTTGTGGGTAGGATAGGGTAGGTGTTGGAGAGGGAGCTGGGTTGTGGGTAGGGTAGTGGTAGGGTGTTGAGAGGGAGCTGGGGTTGTGGTAGAGTAGGGTAGGTGTTGGGAGAGGGGAGCTGGTTGTGGGTAGGATAGGGTAGGTGTTGGAGAGGGAGCTGGGTTGTGGGTAGAGTAGGGTAGGTGTTGAGAGGGAGCTGGGTTGTGGGTAGTAGGGTAGTGTTGGAGAGGGAGCTGGGGTTGTGGGTAGATAGGGTAGGTGTTGGAGAGGGAGCTGGGTTGTGGGTAGAGATAGGGTAGGTGTTGGAGAGGGAGCTGGGGTTGTGGGTAGAGTAGGGGTAGGTGTTGGAGAGGGAGCTGGGTTGTGGGTAAGTAGGGTAGTGTTGGAGAGGAGCTGGGTTGTGGTAGGATAGGGGTAGATGTTGGGAGAGGAGCTGGGTTTGTGGGTAGGATAGGGTAGGTGTTGGAGAGGGAGCTGGGTTTTTGGGTAGGGTAGTGGTGTTGGAGAGGGAGCTGGTTGTGGGTAGGGTAGGTGTTGGGAGAGGAGCTGGTTGTGGGTAGAGTAGGGTAGGTGTTGGAGAGGGAGCTGGGTTGTGGGTAGGATAGGTGTTGTAGAGGGAGCTGGGTTGTGGGTAGGATATGTGTTGGAGAGTGACCTGGGTTGTGGGTAGGATAGGGTAGGTGTTGGAGAGGGAGCTGGGTTGTGGGTAGGGATAGGTGTTGGAGAGGGAGCTGGGTTGTGGGTAGGGTAGGTGTTGGAGAGGGAGCTGGGTTGTGGGTAGGATAGGTGTTGGAGAGGGAGCTGGGTTGTGGGTAGGATAGGTGTTGGAGAGGGAGCTGGGTTGTGGGTAGGGTAGGTGTTGGAGAGGGAGCTGGGTTGTGGGTAGAGTAGGGTAGGTGTTGGAGAGGGAGCTGGGTTGTGGGTAGGATAGGTGTTGTAGAGGGAGCTGGGTTGTGGGTTGGATAGGGTAGATGTTGGGGAGGGAGCTGGGTTGTGGGTAGAGTAGGGTAGGTGTTGGAGAGGGAGCTGGGTTTGTGGGTAGGATAGGGTAGGTGTTGGAGAGGGAGCTGGGTTGTGGGTAGGATAGGGTAGGTGTTGGAGAGGGAGCTGGGTTGTGGGTAGGATAGGGTAGGTGTTTGGAGAGGGAGCTGGGTTGTGGGTAGGATAGGGTAGGTTGTTGGAGAGGGAGCTGGGTTGTGGGTAGGATAGGGTAGGTGTTGGAGAGGGAGCTGGGTTGTGGGTAGGATAGGGTAGGTGTTGTAGAGGGAGCTGGGTTGTGGGTAGGATAGGGTAGGTGTTGGAGAGGGAGCTGGGTTGTGGGTAGGATAGGGTAGGTGTTGGAGAGGGAGCTGGGTTGTGGGTAGGATAGGTGTTGGAGAGGGAGCTGGGTTGTGGGTAGGATAGGGTAGGTGTTGGAGAGGGAGCTGGGTTGTGGGTAGGATAGGGTAGGTGTTGGAGAGGGAGCTGGGTTGTGGGTAGGATAGGGTAGGTGTTGGAGAGGGAGCTGGGTTGTGGGTAGAGTAGGGTAGGTGTTGGAGAGGGAGCTGGGTTGTGGGTAGGGTAGGGTAGGTGTTGGAGAGGAGCTGGGTTGTGGGTAGAGTAGGGTAGGTGTTGGAGAGGGAGCTGGGTTGTGGGTAGGATAGGGTAGGTGTTGGAGAGGGAGCTGGGTTGTGGGTAGAGTAGGGTAGGTGTTGGAGAGGGAGCTGGGTTGTGGGTAGAGTAGGGTAGGTGTTGGAGAGGGAGCTGGGTTGTGGGTAGGATAGGGTAGGTGTTGGAGAGGGAGCTGGGTTGTGGGTAGAGTAGGGTAGGTGTTGGAGAGGGAGCTGGGTTGTGGGTAGGGTAGGGTAGGTGTTGGAGAGGGAGCTGGGTTGTGGGTAGAGTAGGGTAGGTGTTGGAGAGGGAGCTGGGTTGTGGGTAGGATAGGGTAGATGTTGGAGAGGGAGCTGGGTTGTGGGTAGGATAGGGTAGGTGTTGGAGAGGGAGCTGGGTTGTGGGTAGGGTAGGTGTTGGAGAGGGAGCTGGGTTGTGGGTAGGGTAGGTGTTGGAGAGGGAGCTGGGTTGTGGGTAGAGTAGGGTAGGTGTTGGAGAGGGAGCTGGGTTGTGGGTAGGATAGGTGTTGTAGAGGGAGCTGGGTTGTGGGTAGGATATGTGTTGGAGAGTGACCTGGGTTGTGGGTAGGATAGGGTAGGTGTTGGAGAGGGAGCTGGGTTGTGGGTAGGATAGGTGTTGGAGAGGGAGCTGGGTTGTGGGTAGGGTAGGTGTTGGAGAGGGAGCTGGGTTGTGGGTAGGATAGGTGTTGGAGAGGGAGCTGGGTTGTGGGTAGGATAGGTGTTGGAGAGGGAGCTGGGTTGTGGGTAGGGTAGGTGTTGGAGAGGGAGCTGGGTTGTGGGTAGAGTAGGGTAGGTGTTGGAGAGGGAGCTGGGTTGTGGGTAGAGTAGGGTAGGTGTTGGAGAGTGACCTGGGTTGTGGGTAGAGTAGGGTAGGTGTTGGAGAGTGACCTGGGTTGTGGGTAGAGTAGGGTAGGTGTTGGAGAGGGAGCTGGGTTGTGGGTAGGGTAGGTGTTGGAGAGGGAGCTGGGTTGTGGGTAGGATAGGGTAGGTGTTGGAGAGGGAGCTGGGTTGTGGGTAGGATAGGGTAGGTGTTGGAGAGGGAGCTGGGTTGTGGGTAGGATATGTGTTGGAGAGGGAGCTGGGTTGTGGGTAGAGTAGGGTAGGTGTTGGAGAGTGACCTGGGTTGTGGGTAGGATATGTGTTGGAGAGGGAGCTGGGTTGTGGGTAGGATAGGGTAGGTGTTGGAGAGGGAGCTGGGTTGTGGGTAGGATATGTGTTGGAGAGGGAGCTGGGTTGTGGGTAGGATAGGGTAGGTGTTGGAGAGGGAGCTGGGTTGTGGGTAGGATATGTGTTGGAGAGGGAGCTGGGTTGTGGGTAGGATAGGGTAGGTGTTGGAGAGGGAGCTGGGTTGTGGGTAGGATAGGTGTTGTAGAGGGAGCTGGGTTGTGGGTTGATAAGCAGGTGAATAAGCATTGTGTAGCTCGGCTAGAAATTAAAGACAGGAAGCTTTGCGCGCAGAGCGAAGGAGCGTTTATTTTGTGCACGGCGCCACACCAGAGCATGTTCCTGTGAAGAATAAAAAGGTGCGGGTCTGAGCAGTGCTCTGATTGCCATGAAAATAGGACTCAGATCCGCCACTTTGTTCTCCCCAGAAATGATGAGAACAATAGTACCCCCCCCCACCCCCCACCCCCCACCCCCACCCACCAGTCCATGTCATCTGCAGCTCAGTGAGGGTCTCCATGGAAACCAAAACAACTTAGCAGCGGCTGGTAATGTATAATGACAGGATCCTGAGGCTAAAGGAGAGAAAACTGACTTTGACTGACCCTCTGAAAGATATGAGCAGGGGCGGACTGGGACCAGAAATCGGCCCTGGCATTTTTAACACACCGGCCAGTTTGTTCCTTGGGGCCCCCATTATTAGCCAGATAATGATACGTTTGTGCAAAAAACCCAAGTTAGACAGGCCCACTGGGCTAAAAATGGACCAGACCATCTGGCATTTGCCTAAAATGCCAGATGGCCAATCCGCCCTTAGATATGAGATATATCAATGTGTGTGGTAGAGGGGGAGTACAGAATGTGTGATTTTTAGAGCTTTGTTTTCAACTTTTAATTTTCTTCTACCCAGTAGATTTCTAGATGTTTCTTACAGAGTGCAGTATACAGTACTCCCCCAGCCACCTGGATGGATGCAATATACTGCATTATTCCACCTGTTGCTCTGAGACTGAGACTGAGAGGTAGATCACATGACTACCCCAGGCAGACCGATAAACTGACAGACTGACAGACAGACTGACAGCTCCCCTGCTCAAGACAACACAGCTATCCTCTGGATCCCTAGTCTTAGACAAATGTCTGTCTTATCATCGAGTATATAACTTACCTTTATTTACAATACCACTTCCATGCCTATAGTTACAGTATATTTTTCAGTTTTAGTGTGTGATTCCGGAAGTGTTTTTTTTTTGTGTGGTTGCTCATGTGTGACAGACTGAAAGAGATTGACTGTGTTTCCACATTGCCCAAGGGAGTGTAATTGTGTTAGTTTAATCATGTGTGACGGATGAACAGACCAGTCAGAGTGATGGAGAAGATGTGAGGCCAGCCACACTAATTATGTTGTTGTGAGGGGCTCCCTACACACCTGCCTTTCTACCCCTCTCTCACACCCTGCTGTGACTAGCACAGAGTTACTTGTCAAGCTTCAACCCTGTGTTCTACCCCTCTCTCTTTAATGTTAGCTCAACTGTAAAATAATAAATGTCACATTTTCATGTTAAGGAGGGAATACAGTGCATTCGGAAAGTATTCAGACCCCTTGACTTTTTCCACATTTTATTACGTTACAGCCTTATTCTAAAATGGATTAAATAAATAAAAATACTCATCAATTTACACACAATACCCCATAATGACAAAGCAAAAACAGGTTTTTAGAACATTTTATTTATATAAGTATTCAGACCCTTTGCTATGAGACTCGAAATTGAGCTCAGGTGCATTCTCAGGTGCATCCGGCCAAACTGAGCAATCGGGGGAGAAGGGCTTTGGTCAGGGAGGTGACCAATAACTCAATGGTCACTCTGACAGAGCTCCAGAGTTCCTCTGTGGAGATGGGAGAAACTTCCAGAAGAACAACCATCTCTGCAGCACTCCACCAATCAGGCCTTTATGGTAAAGTGGCCAGAAGGAAGCCACTCCTTAGTAAAAGGCACATGACAGCCCACTTGGAGTTTGTCGAAAGGCACCTAAAGACTCTCAGACCATTAGAAACAAGATTCTCTGGTCTGATGAAAACAAGATTGAACTCTTTGGCCTGAATGCCAAGCGTCACATCTGGAGGAAACCTGGCACCATCCCTACGGTGAAGCATGGTGGTGGCAGCATCATGCTGTGGGGATGTTTTTCAGCGGCAGGGACTGGGAGGGAAAGATGAACGGAGCAAAGTACAGAGAGATCCTTGATGAAAACCTGCTCCAGAGCGCTCAGGACCTCAGACTGGTGTGAAGGTTCAACTTCCAACAGGACAACGACCCTAATCACACAGCCAAGACAACGCAGGAGTGGCTTGGGGACAAGTTTCTGAATGTCCTTGAGTGGCCCAGCCAGAGCCCGGACTTGAACCCGATTGAACATCTCTGGAGAGACCTGAAAATAGCTGTACAGCGACGCTCTCCATCCAACCTGACAGAGCTTGAGAGGATCTGCAGAGAAGAATGGGATAAACTCCCCAAATACAGGTGTGCCAAGCTTGTAGCGTAATACTCAAGAAGACTCAAGGCTGTAATCACTGCCAAAGGTGCTTCAACAAAGTACTGAGTAAAGGGTCTGAATACTTATGTAAATGTGATATTTCAGTTTGTTATTTTTTCTAAATTTGCAAACATTTCTAAAAAACGGTTTTTGCTTTGTCATTATGGGGTATTGTGGGTAGATTGATGAGGGGAAAAAATGATTTAATCCATTTAAGAATAAGGCTGTAACGTAACAAAATGTGGAAAAAGTTAAGGGGTCTGAATACTTTCCAAATGCACTGTAGCTCTTATTTTTCAGGGAAGATCCGTTTGTATCCTAATCTTAGGGGGAAAACAATTTAGTAAATTGTGTGTGTGTGTGTGCGTGTGGGTATGTGTGTGTCCAGGAAACGAGCCGTCACCCCTGTCGTCAGTGGAGAGCTACAACCCTGTGAAGCGGCGTTGGGAGTACGCTGTCCCCATGCCCAGCCCCCGCTGCTGCTGTGCCCCCCTGCAGACCCCCAACATGCTGTTCCTCATCGGGGGTGTGGCCCAGGGGCCCAGCAACGCCGTGGAGGCCCTCTGTCTCAGAGAGACTGTGTGATACACACTGGCATGGCTACACACACTGATGTGGCTACACACACTGACAAACACAGCCAAGGACTGTGGCGCTATTCGTGCATACACACATTATTTGTGTACAGGTGAAGGACACACACACTCACATAGACTCTTGTTTGCACCTTCGGATATTGACCTGGAAACCTGTCACAAAGGAATATCGGAGTAGTCGAACAAATAACCAAAAACCAGCACCACACACACACACACACACACACACACACACACACACACACACACACACACACACACAATACTCATTTGAACCGTACAGCATTTTCAGGATAAAAGCAGGGTACTTTTCTGGAAATGAAAGGAACTTGGGGCCATATCTGTTTCACCACAGCAGTGTCAGGTTGCAGTTGGCTTGTTTAGACACTTTTTATCACCTTAGAAAAGTTCAGAGTTTAGGATACAACATTTGAGTATGTGAGCGTGTGTTTTGGTACCTGTTGCATTGTTGTTAACGTGGTGTTAAAATCCCACACTCCTGAATACCACCTCTAGAATGGCCAGCCAATACCTGCACTGTGGCACCAGAGACTCGGAATAGAGCGCTTTGGCACTAAGCCACATTTCCCTGAAGCTTAAAGACATATTTTTGGAGAAAAAAAAAGAAGTCGTATTTTACATCAGAGCTTAGCAATGAAACTTAGAGAATGAAACAATGTAAGCGTTGTTTTTAAAGGGAGAATCAATAGCTCTTAACAGGAAGACCATGCTGCATTTTCCTGAGTCCTCCTGTACATATACCATGCTTATTCAACCTTGCCCTTTCAAGGCACAAACAAGAAATAGAGAGAACACACAGAAGGGCAGCAGAAGGGTTTTTAGAGATGGTATTAGTGGACAGAGGGTGACCTCAAAATATATTTTTTGTATGTATTTTATGAGTGTTTTCTTTCCTTGGCCGCCCCTGTAAAACACCACATTCTATGGATCATGAGATTTTATTTAGGATGTCCTCCTAACCTAAGCTGTCACCACTGTCTCTTATACCGGTTCAGGCTGTGGCTTCTGCTCTCTCTGATTACAGCATCACATGATGCAGCAGGCTGGTTAGGAGGGCTACAGGGGGCTGGTTAGGAGGGGTGGGCCTGGTGAGGAGGACTGGGCCTGGTTAGGAGGGCTGGGCCTGGTTAGGAGGACTGCAGGTGGCTGGTTTCGGAGGGCTGCAGGGGGCTGGTTAGGAGGGCTGGGCCTGGTGAGGAGGACTAGGCCTGGTTAGGAGGACTGCAGGGGGCTGGTTAGGAGGGCTGGGGCTGGTTAGGAGGGCTGTCTCTGCTTAGGAGGGCTGGGCCTAGTCAGGAGGACTGCAGGGGGCTGGTTAGGAGGACTGGGGCTGGTTAGGAGGACTGCAGGGGGCTGGTTAGGAGGACTGCAGGGGGCTGGTTAGGAGGACTGGGGCTGGTTAGGAGGACTGCAGGGGGCTGGTTAGGAGGACTGGGGCTGGTTAGGAGGACTGCATGGGGCTGGTTAGGAGGACTGGGGCTGGTTAGGAGGACTGCAGGGGGCTGGTTAGGAGGACTGGGCCTGGTTAGGAGGACTGCAGGGGGCTGGTTAGGAGGACTGGGGCTGGTTAGGAGGGCTCCAGGGGGCTGGTTAGGAGGACTGGGTCTGGTTAGGAGGGCTGCAGGGTTGGTGACACTTATATTCTAGAGACTATTAAATAGCTTATGGTTTCATTCTAGCACATAGATGCACTCCCACAATCACATACATATTTCTAGAACACCATGATGATGTCATTGAGATATTCCCTTGGGGAGTGCAGTGTCTTTCTAAACATGCTTTAGTGCCAGTTGATAGATTTATTTCTGGCTACGTGGGGAGCTGTGTTTGTGTACGCTCCAAGGCTCACCACAGGGATCTGGCTGGCTGGCAACAGCAATAAAGTGATGGATAGAACACAAATATATGTATATACGTAACTGGATTCTCATCAGTGGAGAGAGAATGCTGTATTTAGTAGCAGTCTGTAGGAGGCCCATGAATACAGTTTATATATACAGTGAGGGAAAAAAAGTATTTGATCCCCTGCTGATTTTGTACGTTTGCCCACTGACAAAGAAATGATCAGTCTATAATTTTAATGGTAGGTTTATTTGAACAGTGAGAGACAGAATAACAACAAAAAAATCCAGAAAAACGCATGTCAAAAATGTTATAAATTGATTTGCATTTTAATGAGGGAAATAAGTACTTGACCCCCTCTCAATCAGAAAGATTTTTGGCTCCCAGGTGTCTTTTATACAGGTAACGAGCTGAGATTAGGAGCACACTCTTAAAGGGAGTGCTCCTAATCTCAGCTTGTTACCTGTATAAAAGACACCTGTCCACAGAAGCAATCAATCAATCAGATTCCAAACTCTCCACCATGGCCAAGACCAAAGAGCTCTCCAAGGATGTCAGGGACAAGATTGTAGACCTACACAAGGCTGGAATGGGCTACAAGACCATCGCCAAGCAGCTTGGTGAGAAGGTGACAACAGTTGGTGCGATTATTCGCAAATGGAAGAAACACAAAATAACTGTCAATCTCCCTTGGCCTGGGGCTTCATGCAAGATCTCACCTCGTGGAGTTGCAATGATCATGAGAACGGTGAGGAATCAGCCCAGAACTACACGGGAGGATCTTGTCAATGATCTCAAGGCAGCTGGGACCATAGTCACCAAGAATACAATTGGTAACACACTACGCCATGAAGGACTGAAATCCTGCAGCGCCCGCAAGGTCCCCCTGCTCAAGAAAGCACATATACAGGGCCGTCTGAAGTTTGCCGATGAACATCTGAATGATTCAGAGGAGAACTGGGTCAAAGTATTGTGGTCAGATGAGACCAAAATTGAGCTCTTTGGCATCAACTCAACTCAACACGCCGTGTTTGGAGGAGGAGGAATGCTGCCTATGACCCCGAGAACACCATCCCCACCGTCAAACATGGAGGTGGAAACATTATGCTTTGGGGGTGTTTTTCTGCTAAGGGGAGACGATGGACGGGGCCATGTACAGTCAAATCTTGGGTGAGAACCTCCTTCCCTCAGCCAGGGCATTGAAAATGGGTCGTGGATGGGTATTCCAGCATGACAATGACCCAAAACACACGGCCAAGGCAACAGAGGAGTGGCTCAAGAAGAAGAACATTAAGGTCCTGGAGTGGCTTAGCCAGTCTCCAGACCTTAATCCCATAGAAAATCTGTGGACGGAGCTGATGGTTCGAGTTGACAAACATCAGCCTCGAAACCTTAATGACTTGGAGAAGATCTGCAAAGAGGAGGGGGACAAAATCCCTCCTGAGATGTGTGCAAACCTGGTGGCCAACTACAAGAAATGTCTGACCTCTGTGATTGCCAACAAGGGTTTTGCCACCATGTACTAAGTCATATTTTGCAGAGGGGTCAAATACTTATTTCCTTCATTAAAATGCAAATCAATTTATAAAAAAATTTACATGCGTTTTTCTGGACTTTCTTGTTGTTATTCTGTCTCTCACTGTTCAAATAAACCTACCATTAAAATTATAGACTGGTCATTTCTTTGTCAGTGGGCAAACGTACAAAATCAGCAGGGGATCAAATACTTTTTTTCCCTCTCTCTCTCTCTCTCTCTCTCTCTCTCTCTCCTCTCTCTCTCTCTCCTCTCTCTCTCTCTCCCTCTCTTCAATATATATATATATAGAAGATAGAGAGAGAGAGAGAGAGAGAGAGGAATAGAGCGATATAGAGAGAGAGAAGAGAGAGGCGAGAGAGAGATAGATCTATAGCGAGAGCTATAAGATATCTAAGATCTCGTCGCTCGATTCTCTCTCTCTAGCTCTACTCTCTCGTCTTCTCTCTCTCTCTCTCGAGCGAAGAGTAGAGAGAATCATTTTCCAGTTAAAATCCTTTTTCAGGTGTGCTCCTCTGACATGACATATGACTCAACAGTGTAAACTGCAGTTGACTCTAGTTCTGTACTGTAATCCCACTGCTGCTGGCTTCATAAACAGTGTTGTAGAGCATTCAGTACATTTACTTTTCCCATTTGCTTTCTTTATAGTAGAGATCCCCTTACAAGCAGTCTATTAGACTTAGGTTTTATAAACAACATCTCTCTCCGCCTTCTCTTCCTGGGATGAAAGATGCTGAATCCACACATTACATATTTCCACACTTACTTGCATTTGATTGATATAAATAATTTCAGAACTGTGTCTTATTTTTTTTTTACCATCAAAAGCCTCTGTTTTTGTGCGGTTCACTGTGAACACCTGGTGTCCGGGCAACAGTCACTGTGTCACACCCGCAAGTAGCATTACTGTGTAACAGTCAGTGAAGTATTGTTGCTTTCCCTTCCAAAATAAATTAGTATTTTAAATCATTTGTATTCTCTATAAAAAAAAAAATCCATGTTTGCTATATTTGGTATTTTTCCAGTTTGTTTGTTGTTTTAGCCCCACAGTGCTTCTACAGCTGTTTCTTTGTGTTGTGTGGTTTGTTCTGGACAAGGTCATGTTTGTAGTGGTGTTGCCCTGTCATGTTGACACCTGGTCTGTTCTCTCTATGATGCTGTGTTGTGACGTGTTTCCATGGTGCGTAACCAGGGTGATGGTGTTATCTGATGATCTCTGACTGTATCCTGTGCGTCCTGACTCCTGTCTCAACGAAGGGAGGCTATGCAGTATGTGTCTGAACATCACAGAGGGGTTCAGTGGGAATGAAAGCTTGTCACAATTGTAATTATTTTTATATCAGGTTTATGTTTGAAGCCAGGAGGCCAGATAAGTTTGCTTTGGTTAAGACATACACAAACACACACACACACACACTAATGATGTCACAGCTCATCCACATTTGGAGAAGGAGATTCCTAAACATTGTAGAATATGAATGAGTAGAGGAACATCTGTGCCTATACTTAGTCTGTTGCTGATCCTCAACCAATCAAGAGAAATCATCTGAATCAAGAAGAATAGGCCACTCCCACACTGA